TAATCATTGCAATATTATATATAAATTGTATTTAAAATTAAGTACTATAAATCTTAGCGGAGATAGTAAAAAAAAGGACCTGTATAGAGACTTTTCACCCACCCGGTATATTGGAATACAATTATTATAAAACGTGGTTTACCACCTATTTTGATTTGATCTCGTGTAACACTATAATATAATTTTATGTGCACGAAAGGTTTTGTCGATCATTTAACACGTGATCAACCGATAATACAAAATTGAAGATTATTTGATCAAACCCGGTAAAAACCTTTTATTTTAATTAAAAAAGTTCGTAGAAATAAAATAAAAATAAGTTTATCTAATGTGGTTTAGTAGTTGTCAAGAAACAATCGCGAAAAATTTTAAAAGAATAAATATCGTGGAAAAAACAAAATCAGTAAATTTTTCTCTTTAAACTACACTTTTTCAACAACTAACTACCCAAATTTGATCGAATTTGAATAGCTAGTGGTCGAGAAATTTTCATTAAAAACTAAAAAAAAAGTTTGGCCGCAGCTTCTTTTTTAAAGACATCAAACCTTGAACAAGATTAGTTGGCACTTACCTAGTCAAATTCGATCAATTTTTTTATTATAATTCTACGCGCATATAGAATTAAAATAAAAAAAAAATTTTGATCGAATTGACTAGGTAAGTGCCGAGTAATCTTCGTTCAAGGTTTAGGCGTCTAAAAAAAAGTGCAATCAATTTTTTTTTTTTTTAGTTTTTAATGAATGTTTCTCGACGACCAGCTATCCAAATTCGATAAATTTTTTTTATTTTAATTATATAAACTCAGAATTAATGTAAAAAAATATTTATCAAATTGGTTGTTGGAAAATTGTTATTTAAAGTTCAAAAAAGAAAATTTTACATGATTTTTAGTTTTTTTCCCGATATTTAGAGTTTTTTTAAAATCTTTTCGCGATGATTTCTTGAAAAAAAGTTTTTACCGGATTTGATCAAGTAGTTATTGTGAAATCATCGCTAGAAGTTTCAACCTGATCACGTGTTAAATGATTGACAAATCCTGGCACAGAATTTTTTTGTGCATTTTATGTATCGGTATAGTTCATAAAATCATATTTGCATATTTGTTTGTTTGACGATTACTTACATACGATTACTTATACACGATTACTTACACAAACTTCTTTACGTATTAGTATTAATCTTCATGTCAAACAAAAATATATTTGACGATTTAGAGTTTAACAACTTAGAATTATGCTTTAACAGTAACAATAGCTTAGAATTTTGCTTTGACAATAACGATGACAGCGATTTTTTTGACGAAATTCTAGATAACTATGGCCAATTAATTATTAATAATGAGGAAGACGATAGCCTGTCTGATTGTGAAGTAAATGATTTAACTGACAAAAAGGAAGGTTTATATCCTCTAAATAAAGGACAATCTTTTATGGATTGGAATGAAGTTGAGAGGTAAAAAGGATTATTCGCATTTTTATTTTTTTTTTTATTTCAAGTTTTTTTTCAAGTTCTAGTACTAATTAGTATTAGTTGGCTTTCTAAACATGGTTGTGAATGAGGATTTGCATTTTCTTTAATAAAAAGTGAGTTGGACACAAATGATAGAATACCTAGACATCGTGTCTATTATTGTTCAAAAGGACATCGTTATGAACCACAAAAAAAAGCACATGTGTTAGAAGAAAGAAACAAGCCACATGATAATAATGGATGCGTATTTCATGTTAACCTTCAAAGATAGAAGAGCAATAACCAAATACATATCTCAGGAATAATTAGTACACATTCGCATCCAATGATTGAAAATGTGCAAATGGCAGCACCTCAATATCGTCGTATTATACCGGAAATGCAGGATGATATAGAGCTTCTTGCTGCAAGTAATGTGCATACTGGAGCAATTATTAATGTTTTTATCTGAAAGTACCCAGACAAATATATCCATGCACGTATCCAATATCGTTCAACAATTAAGGCAGAAAAAGGAAAGTTGAGTGACGCAGAAGCAGCATATAAAGAACTAATCCAGAAAAAACAAGAAGAACCCGGTGCAAAGTTTGAAGGAAATGATAATCACCTTTCTGGACTTGTTTAGTTACATCCTAAGCAAATTGATATTTTGGAGCTGATTTCACAATGTAGTTTTACTTGACACTACTTGTAAAACAAATAGACAATCATAATTGGTCTCGTCTAGTTGTAACAGCTTTAGTTTTAGATGAACAAAAAGTAACATTCGAATGGATATTACAAGGGTTGCTTAATGCATCCGGAGGGTTGGCACCCAAAGTTGTCTACATGGATGCAGATCCAGCTATGATAGCTGCAATTGAATATGTATGGAATTGTTTTATATTCGGAAAAATCTTGAAAAACATTTTCTTTCCAAGTTTGGCAAAGAAAAATTTAAAATTTTTTTTTCAAGCTTTTGTCAAGCACGGAATAGCACTACGGAAATTACTTTTGAGCAAAAGTGGCAAAGAGTTCTGAATTGCTATCCTGAAGCACCATCTTACCTGAATTATCAACTTTATCCTCACTGGGAAGCCTGGGTTCTTGCATTTACATATCATTTTTTTAACTGTGGTATACAGTACAGTCAACACAAAGGGTTGAAGTTTACAATACTATTCTTAAAAAATCACTTAATGGAACAAGGTCATTAAAGGAAGTAGTGAGTACAATTGACAGACATCTAGCAAAAGAATTGCAATTTGTACGATTGAATGAAACTAGTGGTGAACTTCCACGTGCTATGCTTATATTATATTGAGATTTTTATTTTATAGCAATTGATAGAATTCGCTCTAAATTTCTCACTCTAGCAGTACTAAAATTGCAACATTTATCAAATGGATCAATGTGTTCATTATCGGGCTCATCGTACAAATTTAGAAGTTGAGTTATGGTGACGTGAACATATACTTTTTTACAAGTGAATATTTCAAACATCATTTTAGGTTCTTTTTTTTTTTTATACACTTTTGGTTTGGTTATTAACTGCTCATTGCTATTTTTATTTAGAATTCACCGGATGGCATGTTTAGTGAGGACCTGTATGACAAAATGCTTATTAAACTAGCTGAACTTCTTCATGATACAAACTATGCTAATGTCAAAGAACTATGGATAATTTCATATATAGACCAGCAGAAGTTTCATTATATCGTTCTTCTTGATAACGCAGTTCACTTGTGCACATGTTTGACACTTGTCAATCGTGGTATAATCTACTGTCATTTTTTGGCTGTTCTATTAAAAAATAACATAGCACAGTTTCATGTTGGAATCATAGCTAAATGATGGTTTAATAATCGAGTAATAGAAAAAAATAAAGAGTTTAATAATGAACACGCAATATCAATTTGAAATGAGCAAGATTTTGGTATATTCAAACATGAAGTTAGAGTTGATTTTTTTTATATTGATTCAATTCATAGTCAGTATTTTTACTCCCAAGATACAACACCAATTGAAGAGTCAGACTCTTTACGGTAAGGGTTTTGGTTTCATGAAAAAAATATTGAATTTAGTGATTGAAGCCGGGCATGCTGAGGAATTATATAGATTTCACCAGCGATTCATTGAAGAGATGAAAAAGAAACTTGCTAAAAAAGAAGGGTATATTTTACAATCAAATAATGAGAATGAGTATTATGGAACAATCAGCAATCTTTTACAATCATGAACGAAAGGAAGGAAGTGTCACAAGCATATAGCATCATTCAATAATTCAACAGGTGCTCAAAAGAAAGTTCTTAAAGAGGCAACTAATGTACAACATAATCAAAGGACAAGCAGCTTCAATATGAATAACGAGTTAGTGAATTCAGATGATGCCAACGAACAGCGAGTGAATATAATGGATGAAAATTTTACAAAAGCAAATGATGTGCAAGCTCAAATAATTAATGAACAAAACCAAGAGCAAGAGCAATATCAATAGCAGAAGCAAGGTTAGCACCAAGATCAAGTGCAGTACCAAGAGCAAGTGTAGCACCAAGAGCAAGCACTGCACTATGTGCAGGAGCAAGACAAAGAGCACGATCAAGGTTTGTACATATATATTATTGTGCTTTTGGTTATTGATTATTATTTCTAATATATGCGATCACTTAGAAGCTGATGGTATGATAGTAAATAACAATAAAAATTTTTTGTGTTCTGTTACTCGAGGTACTATATTTTTATTATTATTTAATAGCTCTACTTTCTATTCTAATTTACTATATAATATATTTAGGAAAGAAAAAAACGTGCTTACATTTGTGGAAATTGTGATCAAGATGGACATCATAAATCTCATTATCCTAATAATATTTAAAAATATAGTATTTATAATAAGAATTACCAGTAGATCTCATTTTATCAATAGCTATTTTTTTCAATTAAGGCTAGCTCTGATTTAGGGTTATTAGTTAGCTTAATTTAAAGTTAGTATCAATTAGATTATAAGGTGGGAAATAGCTGTTGGCGAAATGAGATAAATTTATAAATTACTTTTTAATTTTTTGTCTGATACAATAGATATGTCACCCGAAATTGGTAATTCATACTTGTATGAACTTTCTACATTTCGAAAAGTATTCTGATTGTATTATTTAGTTGGTAAGTACCTAATTTTTGTAAGTTAAAGTTTATAATAATTAATTACCTTTATTTATTCTAATCGTTTTGTACATGGCAATTTGGTTGGTAAATATTTAGATACAATGTATACATATAACTTAATTCAATAATTCATTTTCATGAGTTTGCATTTTATTTTAGTATATTTATAATTCAAAGCATAATGACAAATGAATTTTTATATAACAATTTGTATATCGCATTTCTGCCATGATATTCATGATATTCAATTATATATTTTATAAATATGAGGTGCGATATTTATATAAATTGTATAGATTCAATAAAAAAGGATTCTTGCTATAATAAAATATATTTGGTTTGGTATTGTAATTAGCAATAATATGTATATATTTTTAAATTATTATATAAATTTTATAAATGACTATTACACCTATGGTGAATTACACTTTTGGTGAATTTTACCTATAGTAACTTTCACCATAGGTAAAATTCATCATAAGTGAAATTCACCATAAATATAATTCACTATAGGTGTTGTTACAAAGTAGATTGTAATACAGAATAATATTAGTGTAGCATAGTATAGAAAATATTCTATTATTGTATTATTTATTATATTATTATATCATAGCATTATAGTTATTA